AAATTAAGCTATGAAGGTGTTCTTGATAAAATAAATTTTAAGGTTGTATTTGGACAATATTTGCAGTACATTTTGTTACTGCTTGACGTGATTTGTTATTTGCGTTTATGTAAAGGGTTTATTGGAAATGGGGTCCAAAGCTCCGAATAATTTCTCCTTTGCTGAATCATTCAGCGATCCTTCATATCGCGACTCTCGATCTCGCACGTAATTAATCCCGACGTCTTCCGTTTTCTCATAACTTCGCCACTCGGCGCTTCGTTTAATCGCCTGCTCGTACGTTGCCACGGAATTGCCTAGTTGCGCGGGCGAGAATTCGCGAGACGCGTTCACGGAAGATTCATGCGAGACGATGGTCCCTGACGGTCAGCGTTGACAAATGGTGCTCGATGAATCGGATCGACTTGGCATTGGCGGTGATCGTGCGTGCCGGAAATTCGTCCTCGACCAAGCAAGGGCCTCTAGCCGCGGAGGCAATGACATTGCTCACAATGCCAGGATGCAGTCCCGCCTGCATCGCGCAATGCCATCGCCTCCGGTTGCACTGCCCAAATCACGCTAGCTGCGCGACGTGGTACGCGTTTTTCTTCTCTCTCGCTGCACCGTACCCACGGACACGACTACAGCAATTAACTCTTTGCACTCGATGCCAATTCGTTGCAAAATATGCAAATCGCGTTCTGTCAAATTGCGTAACTATGGAACCATGTAATTCGTTATAATCATATTTGATCATAAAGGGTTTTTCTAAAGGGGTTTTAAGAGTTTTATTTTTATAGAACACTAGCTGCGCTCCGCGGTTTCATCCGTGAGGAATACTATTCTTATTCTATAAAGTGAAAAATTGGTACAATCTCTGAAAAACTACAGATGTAAGCTCGAGAACGAGGCACGAAGCATAATTGAACGATCAAACGAACTTGCTTGAAGTGAAGTTTGATTGCAATTATACGTTGGGCTTCGTTCGAAGAGATTACATCCCACCCGAGTGATAGCCTTTCATCTTTTCGCTCTCCCTCCCTTAATCTTCTTAATAGCAATTTTGTTCCTAAAAATTGCAGTCTGCTGTTGTCTGAATTCTCAGTTTGGCTTGATTTTCCACTTGTTAAATCTACGTAATCAATTTTAATTAGGCATAAGAGAGATTGGACGTTTAACGCTCTTTCTAATGGTATATTTAGTTTTAATTTTGCACTGTAACTTGATGGTGTTATGGCCATTTAAAGAGCGTAAGGTTGAAAAGACGGACAAACAATTAAAAGTCAAAATACTCGTAAAACAAGGGGTTTTTCGAAAACTGTCTTGGAGGAACTTTTTCTTGGAAATTAGTTGTAGAATCGATTCCCTGAGTTTGTTCAGATTTGACTGTAGACACCCTGTATAAATAGATGATGGTTTCACGTAATCGATTAAGAGTGAAACGGAAAATCAAAATAATTATGTATAGTCAGTGGGGATATATAGTGTAAAGGAAGCAATATAAGATATATTGGACACTCAATTGACTTCTCATTTCTAATTTCCTCTTATCTCTTACCTCTTACTTATAAATTACATTCTCTACAATATGGATAACATGCATTACTTTAGTATGCACGTGTAAGTAACAAGGAGTAGGAAGTAATATACAAGAAAATACTACATATTATATTCATGCAAGAGTACTTCGCGAGGCAAATTGTATGCAGTTTTCTGATTACAGGATTCCTTTAATTGAGCATTCGATATATCACCTTCCTTCGTACTTCCTTTATATATTTCTCCTTTCAATTGCTGTGTAAGTCTACCAAATCACATTCGTGACGGCTGTGCTCCTTGTGTCTAGAGTATAGTCATATATTTACTCTACTTTATACGTCTATTACACCGTCTGGCTCTTAATAATGTTCGCAATACGGGGTTATCCTTTCAAAAGTGGACTGTTATGAACGTACAAATATGAATCGCTTGGCACAGAGACTTGAGAATATTCAGATGTCTTGAAATAATACAAGGAATTGATTCTAGAAAATAATTAGTTCCTTTTTCATATTTTCATGCACCATGTACTTTTTTCGATATTGAAATTAAACCTCAATATCAAGACTCTTTATTGAAGCATTCTCGTGTCACTCAACTAGATATAGTTTATATTTAAAGTAAAGGTTATTTGTTTTCAGGTAACGTGATAGCAATTATAATATAAAAATTAACGAAGGATTTTATTCAATGTCTAACAAATTAAAATTGATCGACAATTTAGTTTCAATTTTGCACTCCAACTTGATAGTGTTATGTAATTACCAATCGATTAATATTAAATGCATCCTTAGTTGGATGACCGCGACGGTCATATTCTACTCGATGAATAACTTCATTAGAATCATCACTCGTTACTTGCTCTTATTTACTGATAAGTATAATCATAGTTGGTTAACTAAAACTATTATATTTTACCGAGTGTATAATTACGTGTTATTATTAAATATTATTCACTATCCATTCAACTTACCCAGCCATCTAAAAAAGTCGAAATTCGTACACACACAAAATATTAACTACTTAAGCGTAACATTCTAGCATTCAACACGAACAGACACAATTGATTTGTTCTGTTTGGAAGTCCTTCCTACGGGACATCGATAAACAACCCAAATTCATGTTTGTCTTCGATCAAAGTTACGCAACCCCAAAGTTTTGATTCCTATGCTGTTACGAACTCGACCGTCGACTTGAGAGATTTGTCTAACTTCGAGCAAAAGGCAGAGAAACGAGACGACAAGTTTACGGACACTTGGTTTGAAGTGGTTTAATTTTCAATGAAAAGAGAGCGTTGAAACGCTTAATGGGACGAGAGTATTTTACTCGCTGCACTCGTACATATGTGCATCGCTGCGAAGGGGAACGGATGCCATCGAAATTGCGACCGCGTACAGCCTATTTCGAGAAAGTTACAAGACGATGTTCCAGCGCGATTACAGGCATTCAGCACTGACGAGCGTCTACTTATAGTAAACTTTACCTTGAGAAAATTGCACGGAACGAACCGTTGTATCACGGGCGATTCGATTTATCGACACTCGCAAATGAAATTCTTTTCTATCCTTCAAATCTTAGCGATGGTGGCGTTTACTACTAGATCTAGAGAAGAGAAAAGAAAAGATTGCTTTTCTGTAAACGTAATCGTTTCCATTCAACGATGAATGTAATATATTCTCCGATCAGAATAGATTTACACAATTAAGAGTTAGATCTGTTTTATTAACAAGTGAATACGGAGCTAATTTAACCTCTTCAGGGACGATTTTTCTTCACGCTTTTCTTATGTCTCTAACTGTGCATTGTCTCTAGCGAGATAAGAACAGTGGCTGTAAGTTAAGCAGTCAGTTGAATTTTCTATGATATTCATTAATATTAATCAAGCGAATTTATTTTTTGCTGCAGAAGTCACATTTACGATTTCCACTTGACATTCATTTCTACGGTAAAAAATTAAAACTGACAAGTTCCTTGATTGATATCGCTTATTCTACAATACGATATTCTCTTTTGTTGATGTTACTGCAAAAAATGCAGTCTTGATGAAAAATACGGTATATCATTTTTGTAACTATAACAAATACAATTGTACAATTTTTTCTGCCATTATATTTTCGTATGTTTCTAAACAAATTCTAAAACTATATTTTTTCGTGTGTATATATTTCGTTACCCATTTAATAAATCATCCTAAAATATTTATGTATCTTTATTTTATATTTTTGGGGTCGCAACAAAATATCGCAATCATAAACAGCATCGTAAATGAAAAAAGTTTAAAAAGTCCTGGCTTATAGCAATCATTACCGTTTCCATTGCTTCTCTTTAATACACCTTGAAATAGAATTACTCGATATTTCTTGCGATCGAAGATTCACAAAGCAGTCGTTCGATCGGTTGGAATCGAAGAATACTGTCCACAGCTCGACGATTCTCGACGATGTTAAAACTTATCCGCTAGATGATTCTGGCATCATCGAAGCTGTTGAATGCAGAGCACGACGAGCATTCAATTCGTTCACCGGTGCTTTATGTAAGCCAATTAATTCGTGCGGTTTAATTTGACCGAACTAATTGCAAGCTTTCGCTCGCGAAGATCGGCGAGCATTTTTTGTTGTCTGCTCGCCGTATAAATGATCCTCGTAGTAGACATTGCGTATTCCACATATCGAACCTCCGCGAAGGTCGAATCGATGAGAGAGAAAATTATTTAGCACGTATTGCGCTTTCGGAATAAATTCGACGAGGCCGAGGAGCGTGTATCTCTACGTACGCGTCCGTAATCGCCTACGCTCGCGTTACGCAACGTGTTCGTAGTCGACATAACTCATAAGCGAATTGCATCGCCTTGTTAGGCGATTTTCAGCATATTACGTCGAATTTACGAATCAACGACCTCGACACAATGAAGAATATAGCGGTAGACCATTCTGTTCTTTTGTCATTTTGCAATCCCATAAGCAATTACTCAGCGACAAGTTGCGATTAATGTCTTACTCGTTGACTTCTTCGACAAAGGGGTCCTCTGAAATCCGATGCTTCGTGTGATCGAAATTTCGATCGTGTATTTTCAATCACCCCCGCAGTCAAGCCAGTTTATGCGACTATAAAGCTTATTACTTTGAATATAATTTTAGGACAAATGCGTAAAATTTAATCGTACGAAGAGATTTTCTTGACTTTACTAGAAAGTTAAGAAACGTTTAGTCGTTGAAATGAAAACGAGTCTTCCAATTTACGAAATTACTTTTACTTTAATTTTTCTACGAAATGTATGAAAAGTTTGAGGAATGCAGAATGTATAAATACCACTCTAGAATCTATGTTTTTTCTAAACGTGAAATCTTTGCCTCAATTCAATCAGAGAGAAAAGGTTTTCGTTAAAACACGAGGGACGGTTTCCTTGCCAAGGAACCTCCCCGGGCGCTCATCGGTGACGACATTTTACCGATGTTTTACGGTCTTGTTTTCTTCTGTTTCAGCGCCAAACAGCCCACTCCATCTTAGCAACAGGGCACACGTCCTGCTCCTGCTGAATAGGCCTCAAGCCTCCCTCACGGATGCTGATCATGCGGTTAGATTGCGACCGGATTGGGGCAAGGTAAGAAACGTTGGAAATGAAAATTATTTATTCATCAAAGAAAATAGATTTCATTAACGCTTCACCGACCAGTAGCCTATTAAATGATTGTATGAACATGGTATACGTTTTCAATCTAAAAGGTGTTATGATTGTCAAGTAATGGAATTTTAATATAAAAGCGAATGTACACATATATGCCAATATCCCTCAAGAGATTAACTCATTCGCTGCCGACTACGAGATATCTCGTAGTTCAAATTGTCCGGAATTAGTCAAGGAATATGTTTGTAGCGTTTCAAGTCACGAATTATTGCAAAAAGATGATCGTAAATTTTTCTTTTAAAACAACAAATTTAACATCACTTTTTATTATCAAAATAATAACTTAGATTACACATCTGTATTGAATCTTGGCGTCTAAGGTAAAACGCTATTTTGCCTGCCAGTGAATGGGATAAATATCTTAGATTTCATACAATTTACCTTTAAAGCAAAAAAGTGTTGCAGGTAACCTCATTTGACGGTATCGGATTATTAGGTTACGTATTCATACGATTCTAAAATAGAAGCAATCATTTTGTGGCCGTTATGAATCACCATTTACTATTCCGAAGTAAAAGGCTGCAGCGTACAAGTAGAAAGTATCACGATGGACTCGTCGCGCGCGAACCGTAAACGACTCCCGTTATTCAGAGGTGCACGTAATAGCTCCGAGGAGATATTTTGTACAGAATAGAGGTATAGCCGTGCAGCAGATTCGATTGAATCTGTCGCACGAAAGCAATGGCACGAGAGGTCAGGTTTCTCCCACTTGGCACGCTCTTCGATCAGATGTTTGGGGCTACGTACTGCCTCTCTACCCTTAACCCAATCCTGTTCCAATCCCGCCCACGCCGCGACGACGTGCTATCCCTAACCCAAATCTAAGGGCTAAACCTGACCTCTGACCCAGACCAAACACCTCGTCCAGGAACGCGACAAATGAGTGGTTTCCTACTCGTGCCACGGTTTTTATCAGATGAGGTTCAACCGACTTTACAGCTAGTCGATTGTACGTACAAACAAGTGGCAAATGCCCTGCGTGTTTATTGATTCGACCATTAACAGTAGCTTTACTCGGAAAGTGTACGGAACTACCACATTGCGTTCCAATTATATTCTCTTAAAGTACTAGCACGTTCTTTTAATGATTAATATTTTCAAATATTTTCTGAACCTGTTGTTTGATGAATAATTTGAACTACTTATTGCATGTATAAGTAGGCAACATATTGTTCTTGAATTGTGAATAGAAGGAGTGAAACACGAGTTATGATTTATTTTAAATTTCGATTCTTTGTGTTAGAGTCATTTTCACGGTCCATGTGCTTTACAATTGGATTTAATAAATTAATGTAAAAAAGAATTAATTAAATTGCTGGCTGAAAATGATTTCAACTCTTTACACGCGAGGGATAACGCTTAGCCAGTTCTGGATTTTATGCGGCAACTCGAGTGGTGGCTGAGAGGCGACGATCGTTGTTTATGTTAGATTTTGTTATATTTCAAAGCATTAATATCGGTTTATAATTTTCTAGGCTATTTATGCATTCTTTTAGGAAGTGAGTCCTGAAACTCAGAGATACGTGACTGTTATTTCCCAAGTACAGATCGATAGAATTAAGATTTGACAAGTATAGACTCAGGATATTAAAATTTGAGGAGTATTTGTTTCCATGAACGTCAAAGCGTACCAATTTCGAGCTGAGTAGTATTATTTCGAATCGATTGCTGCACTCACGTTCTAATAAACACGCATTCATCGACAGGGTCATTACAGAAGAGGGGTGGCTTTGTCAGCACTGGGTAGACACGAAGAAGCTCTCTTTGCCATTTGCATCAGCGTGGCTATCGACAAGAATCCTCAAGCTGTGCGTCACGAATTGATCAAGGTATGTTGACTTTTACGTAGACGTAAATGTTACGCTGTCCCGTTGATAACGTTCACTTTTCGAGCCATATCTCCTGAAGGCAACAGCGTGATTTCTACGCGGAATTTCTTTTTTAAGAAGCATGGAACTATAGAGGCGCACTGAATATTTATAAATGAACAGCCATTTTCAGAGAAGAAATTTTTTGTTCAAAATAAACAAAAAATCAAACTGATATTGACTCATGACATCTATCAATCTCGTAACGTTGTTGTCGTGTTATATCATTGGGATATTTAATTATGAATACTTAGTCACAATTTTGAAGGTTATTTCCGCGTCAATGTTCAAAATATCTTAAAAAACTGGAAACATCAGACTTAATGTAACCTGAGGAACCTTATTCATTGACAATTTTAATGAACGTTCTTGATGTTTTAATGTACTTTTTCGCGTAGAAATAAGGATTATGTAAGAATATGGTTAAATAATACTGAACTTACACCTGAAAAAAATGCAAAAATATAGGAAAACGAAGTATAAATTCCATGCTCTGTTTTTCTATAAATCGTCCCATTATAACAATTCTCGTCCTACGGAAATATTCTGCTAACCTACTTTGCATCCGAACTTTGCCATCAGATCCTTTATTTGTTTACACTTGAAGTAATATTTTTTTTAACCCCGATTGATTTATTTTGTGCAACAACTCCGATGTCAGGTTTACAAAATCACCGTTTATCTGTACTTCGCCTTTACGTAAATATGCTATTACTCTTCGTTATGACATGTACACTCTTTCATATTTGCATAATAACGACGTTATATAATAATAATAATACGGTGGTGGTAAAGTTGCAAGCCACTGCGAAACGCAACGTAGATAATGTCGAATGAAGACGCATTGTTAGTTATAATTGAGGGGTGGTACATCAATAAAGAGGCAGCTCTAAAAAGAGACGATTTAAAATTCAGATTTTTGAAATTTTCTATCTTTTTCTTTTTTGTATTATAGCATAGGTACCTAATTATGAAATCATGTCGTTTCGGAATCCATCCTTTATTTTCAGAGTGGTGCTGGTGGGGAGGGGGGGTGGATTAATGTTTGGAGCTGCCTTCGTATTTCGACCGGTTCTAAAAAACACCTGAAATTTAAGGGATTTCTCGAAAGAAGAGAACAAAATTTTCTTTCAAACAGATGTTTATTTTGTTCTTAAAATACATGTATTTGGTATAACAGACGGTATAAATCAAATTTCTATTATGTTGTCGTACTTCAATTTGGGAACATTTCCAAAAATACAAAAATCAGTTTAAGAACAGACAGTAGACATATGTAAATCCCACAGATACAACAAGTACAAGTAAACATCTTGTTTGACGTGAAACATAAAAACACGAGGATTACCGCATCTGTAATCAGTCTGCGTTGAGCAAAGATGAGTAAAGTACTTATGTAGATATAATTTTTCGCGTAAGGAATAAAAGATAAACAAGTTTTTCGAGCGATAAACAAGGTCTAAGCTCCAAAATGAATTTACATCTTACGTTGAACGAATAAAATTCTATTCCAGTAACTGTTATCTTGTACCTCTGTAACAGTTCTATAAATATTCCGAATGAAGAGTTTTTATGATTCGCCGTCTGTTAAACGGATGAAATTTTGTCTATCAGTGACACGTCGAGTTTCAAGTCATTTAAAAAACACTACCTGCCAGACTAAAACTCGTGAAAATGTCTACAAAGTTAAAATTTTATCGTCGTCAAATTTACGAATCCTATCAAGATTTATTTTCTTTGACCCCTCACATACGGAATTCATTTTTTTTTTTTACCTCCACAATGAAAAGTCAGGTCATTCATTTGCGGGTGACGTGGCGACCATCGTGTTAACATAACAGTAAGCAAGGAAATTGCAATATTTCAACCGTGTCGTCAGAGAAAAAGCCATTAACATTCATTCCAATTTTGATATTGTCGAGAGCATTGTATAAACAGGGAGTACGTAAACAAACGGTATAAATGAGCGAGCAAGAGGGAGAGAGAGATCAAGATATTGTAGCCAGAGTCACGAACGTACACAAAAGAAGTGGACGTCTGTGCACGACGGCATTTCCGGTACGGCTGCTAGTGGTACAGCTTAATGACTCGGTATGATAGTCGTCAGGTGAGTGACCCGTGATAACCACTCGCAAGTAGGTATACTATTTGAAGAGAGTGTACTGTTTGTTACGTAATGTAACGATCTCTCTGCTCTTCGTTCTCGATCATACGGAACCTCTGATTCCTGATTCTCTTCTACCTGTAAAAGTCAGTCGTCGTTATGGACGCGAGAGCGACGAACGCAAGAAGAACACGGGTCTATTATGTAATGAGTATGCAAGATATCACAGATCATAAAAAGCACAGCCTAATCTTATCGCATTTGATTAAAATCCGTAGATTTTCATGAGGAGTGTAATTATCACCTAAAATGACGCTTTATAGAGAAAATTAAATACTAAATTTAGCAAATTTAAATTTTATTAATAAACCAAAATGAAAGCAATTTCTTTAAATTTTTGTTGACGAAATAGTCTAGATCGCAATCATGTGCATAAGTGTATGCACTATTTTAGATTGAAGTTGTCTTTAATCAAAAGAATTCAAAAGTCTCACTGGGAATCAGAGGGTTAATTAAATCTGATTAAATCTGACTTCACGAGAAAAACTGGTGACGATCATAATAACTAAGCTTCATGGAGCTGATAACAAAGATGACCAAAATTCTTATATATTACGATTTTGATATAATATATTATATATTATTGTTATTATTATTATTATACATAACAAATTTCGAAGAACAAATGAAAGCTAAACAACTTCAGATTAGATTATTGAGTAAAACTAGCAATCTGAATAATACAGCCACAATATTGTTACGAATAAAGTGACATATAGAATTTCTATTTGACATTTATTATTCAGATAAAATTTTGCCTATCTCCGCTTTCTTATTTTTGAGAAAAAAAATAATCGACAATAAAAGGTAGATTCATATCTAGATCAATCATTTCGAATAGCGCATGAAAGGTAAACAATTTTCGATTAGATATTTATCGAGTTAAAGTATAAACTTCACGTAGAATGAATAACAGCTTACTTGAATATCTCTTCAATCGAATAAACATGTACAGAACTTCTACTTACCATCTGCGATTTAAACAAGATCCTTCTCATTTTTGACAGTTAGAACTTTGAAAAGATTTTAAAAACTCCCTTTCTATATTCTTGAAACAGTTAATTATCACAGGTGACAACTAAATTACCGAGAAACTAGCGTAAAAAGTCACGCCTTCGTCGATCAACTTTGAACGGAAACCGATTTTCCGCAACCGTCTCGTTAATCGTGATCGCAGTCACTTTTTCCCCCGCTAGACGCGCAAATAATCGCGAGTTTCGTAGTTCCGACGTAGGCGGGAGATGAATGAGCTAAGACGGGAATAAATATTCCGCGAATTGACTTTCATGAATAACACGGAGTGTTGGAGCGACCAGCGTCGACGACTCGATGCCTTATTATATAATAAACCTCACGACGATTCCAACGGGCTCTCCGAGGCGATCGAATGAAAAATAACGGCGAGAATATCAGTGGTACATATAATGGAAATTTATTTCCTCGCTGGCCTCTTCGCCGGCGTATCAATCGATGCGTCGATCGTGCGTTCCAATAAGACTACAGGTGAGTGACCCAAGGCTAGTCTACACTCAAGGCAAGGCCAGCGGTAATTACTCGCAACTCGATACGTTCGAGTCTTTAAATCGCGGGTATCGTTTTTCCATTCTCTGAGAGTGAGTCGTTACGGTTTCTGTCTTAAGGAGATCGTCTAATCAAGTAAAACCATAGTTAAACCATAGGAAATACAGAAAAGAAACCTTTTGGTAATTATTAGTACACATCTTGAGGCAATAACGCAAAAATTTCTTTAACATTTTTGTTTAAAATTTACGATAATATCTATTCCCAAAATGAGACATTCTTTTGAAACTTAAAATTTTGTACCGATAGACGTATTGAAATTGATGCTGTCTGATCACTTGGAATTTAATCTGATGTATTTCTGTGGAATAGACGTCTATGAATTATGCTATTGACAGGACTAGATCGTACGAGACTTGTTATAAAATAGACTTATTCATAAGTTTATTATGAAGAAATCATAGAAAATACGACAAAAAAATTGTTTGTGATATGTAATATAATTAACCCATTCGCTGTCGGGTAAATTAAAAACATTTCGCTTTAGGCGCCAATATCTAATACAGATGTGTACTCTAGGTTATTAGTTTGATAATAAAAAGCGATATTGAATTTGTTGCTTTCAAAAGAAAATCTACTATGAACTTATCGTGTAGTTATCTAAATTTTGCATATTTCTATACTAGAGACTCTATGAACACAACGAATTCATAAAAATAATTGCAAACTGAATGCAAGATGAGTAACAGCGTTGTTGGTACCTCGACTCGACTCAACTCATAGACGGTACACTTATCGCTATGACTCAAAGAGTTAACGGGCGAATTCGAGGATCGAATGAACGCAGAGGTACCCTCGGACAAATTGAATTTCAAACGATCATTGTGTAACCGGAGAGCCGGCTGGAATCATTGACGCAAGCTGCACCGGTACTTACGTAAGATCGAGGCATCATTCTTTTCGCGTAGCGTCCGCGCCATAGGGCGAACAATGAGATGCCACTGGCTGAGCACTTTCTTTCGGTGAAAATGTTCCGGATGCGACCCGTCGGGAAGTTGCACAAGGTGGCACGAAATTTTGCAGATTATTCCACGTTCCTGCGTTTCTCGCGCTGTACGCAAGCTGCTCTTCCAGCAAATTGCAGGGTATTCGGACGACGGAAACATTTGCTGTTTATCAAACGGGAAAAGATGTTACGTTTCTTCTGTTTCTTTTGCTACGCGAATAAAAGCTGTAAGCAGCGATTACACACATTTCGAAATAACTCTTTTGCACGCGTTTGCGAAACATGGTCGAATACTGTTTTCTTAAAGCGTGAGACTTTTAATTAACTGGAAAGATGTACCGTACGATAAACGGATATCTTGTGTAACGCTAAAGACGGCTTTATCCCACATTAACGATGAAAAAGAAATTTAATTGCATTTCAAGAGATTGTTCCGTAGAACAGTCGGAATTTAGATTTCATGGATGGATTAGGCGGGATGTTTAGTAACGAACAGGAACATTTGATTTGCTGATATTCTCAACGAGAGTATTACTTTACGTAAGGGAAGCAAGTTTGAATTGAACCAAATCGAACCATTTTCGACACTTGTTTTAATTATAGTATGTTTAACAAACAAATCGAAAATACATTCGTTAATTATCATTTTATGCATTCACTGTATGTATAGTTACATTAGGATTACAAAAGTTATCGTTTCGTATTGTCTTCAGGTGCTGTACAAAGTGCTGTCGATTGGTCACCGTCGTTACAACGTGCCATCCCGTTCGCCCTACAATCTATCGGAGGGCGTGTCGCGCACGAGGAGTCGTCATCAGATGATGAATCTCAAGAGGAACCGTCGAGCGATCCTGAACGGTTCCGACTGCGAAGACAATAGCAGCAGCGGCGACGAGGAGTTTCCACAGGTGCGAACTTTATCTTCAGAAGCGTGGGAGGCAATTCTTAAAATGTTAGGTTACCGTGTAACTTTTGCAACGAAACGTTGCGATGATAAGTTTCGTCGTTTGTGAAGTTGAATACCTGGTATATGTAGAGATTTATTTGCGAATACAATAGTATTTATTGAATCATCTAATTTCTTTCCTTGCTAAAATGAATTACTTTCTATTAATTTTTGTACCATTACTTTATATAAATAGTACATAAACGACATCACTAAACACGTCACATTTTTAATACAAAAGAACGTCGAATAGGAGAAAAACAAAATTATGTAATTCCCCGATAAGTTTTTCATTCAAGTTTCGACCAAGCGTAACAGTGTTTGCAGTTCTAGGTAGATTCGAAACAGATTCAAGTTTTCTTTCAAATAAATAAATCAGAATACTAGAATTTCAGGTTTACATTTTTTCGTGTCACCGTTTTTTAAACATAAGTTGTACGTTTGATAGGGGGTATCATTTGCATGGTCAAAGTGTTACAAAATACGAATACAAATATCGTTTGAATTTAATTCGAAACTAGTAATCTAGTCATGTATACGAGAACAAGCCGCTAGAGATAGAAGAACGAAGCAACTGGCATAATTGACCGCCACCCTAGCTATGATATCTGCAATTAAGCAACAATTTTCTTCTCTCGGTTGCGTACATTTTTCTCATTTCGCTTGCTCCTGTTCATTAAATGATAACTGACACGACGACCATAATTATCGTCCTCATTATGTTCTCGATTACACCTTGTTTACTTCGATTAATTATTTTGTTTTCTGCTAGGAGATCAGTGCACCTGATCGTTACGGATACCGCTCTTACAACGCGAGACCTCTTGCAACGATACCCGCGTAATTAACAATCGATTTACAATTATTGTAGATAGACGATGCAATACGGATATCGTGACGGTAATAAGCGCTCGGATAACTGAAACTTATATAAACTAGACGTTTCAATCACCATCGATCTCGTTGCCAGGATAAACTGCTTGGTGTCCGGTAACCAGTAATCGATTGCCACGTTTAATTACAAATCCCCTCGTTAATAAGATTTCGAATTCTCTTGATTTTTTTTATCGACGAAGCGGAGTCACATGAGAGTAAAGCTGTTTCTTGTTTGACAAGAGAGATAAATAAGGAATACGATAAAATGAGATCGAGTAAACACGATATTAGCGCGAGGTGTCGGAATCGATGAATTCGTTTGCAAAATTATTCAAGTTGAAATTGTAGATAATCAGAGATAAACGATAGCGGTAGTTATGGGAAAAAGGGAAAAACGAAATGTGGAATTAGGTTTCAGAGAAATTCCTAGGCTGCGTAACAAGCCATTAAATCTCATAGAATCGCGCAGCGTCTGGTTACAAATACAGATGAATTGTATTTCAAAGAAAAGGAGCACTAATCGTGTCAATCCTAATAATTCGGGATTAAAGTTCGCGCTTAATCCAATTATGCTTGTTGATTCGTTTCAGACTGTTAGGCGGAGGCTCTTGTCAAACCCAGCACCACAGAACAACACCAAGCTGCAGGCCGGCCTGGATCGTGTGTACCAAGACATAGAGAAATTAAAAAGTAAGTTGAACAATCACAAACTTTAAAAAATTATTTATATACAAACAAAGGAATTCTTCAATTGGTATCTAAGGATCGACGCATCGTTCGAACATTATTGTTTTGGCCCGTTTGTGATTTACACAAACACGAAAAACATGCAAAATGAATGCAGTAAACATATATGGAGTTCTGTAAACGAAATTGTATGATTGCATCAACTTACGTCACACGAGTATTTACGTAGATACATAATTATATTAATTTCAGAAATATTTATTCACGATCGTTTAATACGAGTTTTCCATATTAGCGTTCGCGATTAATGCGTAATATTTGCAGATTAACAATTATATATCAACGAGATGCTAGAATCTACACGAAATACTTTACGAATTGGTTAGATTGTTAGTTACTAAACGAAACTTCGGGTTCTCGTGAAAAAGAATTCCAGCCTGGAAAGGTTAACCGATTACGTTTTATCTGACATTTCGTATTAATAACCGGCGGTGCACGTTTAGCACGATACGTGCGACCGAATGTGTACCATTGATGAACAGGTCCTCGATTGCGAGTTATTTAAAAATAACGATTTGATTAAAGCGCGAACAGGGTGGAAATACACACGCCAAATATTTTTTTCACAATCGTGTGCTGGTTATCCGAGACTCGTTTCAACTTTTCTCGTTAGGATAGATCTACGACAATATTTACAATTCTCTCGCAACTAAGAATTTAGAAGTGCTTCAGAAGTGACGAATATTGTTTTGATTTTCGTTACTAAACGAAATAACAAAACTGGCACGTAATGGCATTATAATGACTGAAAATATCAGAATTTGTATACAGATGTATGGACAGAATTTTGTTGTTTTAATATACATGGAAACTAGAATTCTTCGGTCATAAATTTTTATAGGAAAAAGAACGCTTGCAACTTTCAAACATGACGCCATAAAATGAATTTGAAGTCAATAATATTTCTAAAAATATCTTGAAGTACAAAAGGTTAATATGTTTGTTGAATCGTTATTTCTGTTGATCGGATCGATTTACGCTGTAATCAATAAAACCTGTGATATTTTCAGGACTCGAAGCGAGACCCGCTGAAATACTTTTACCACCTCTTTCCGGTGGCACGGCGGGCGAATTGGATTGCATCCTGTGCTGTCGACTCTTATGGAAACCCGTGACGACGCCGTGTGGACACACGTATTGCTGGATGTGTTTGGATCGTTGTCTGGACTATTCCTCAGCGTGTCCTCTGTGCGTCACGTCTCTCGCCGATGTAAGTAGTCTTTTCCTCTCCAGATAACAATCATTTGGCATATTAAACCGTAATCTTCGCCGTGCATAACGAAAAAAGTGAAAAACAGTAGGAATTATAGGGAAACACACAGACTTTTAAATTTTATATTAACAATTGAGCCGTTCATTGCACAAATCGATTAACTCCGTGAAACAAAAAGTATGCGTCATTGAGATTTTCATATGTCTGTCTTAAAATAAATATATAAAACAATATAAATGGTTCAATCTCTATTTACAAATATCATAACGGATGATTTAATAATTAAAATAATTATATGAGTTTTCAACTTTCTCTTTTATTTCGTGATTATCAATATCGGAACTGTGTATACGTTAGAGATATGACACGAGTTCAACGTTTGAATTTCATTTCAGGTTGTAGTCGGAATATGTCGTAAATTTTCCCTACACCTTGACAATGATTTTTATGTGTATCACACAAAGAAGAAATATTAATGTTACAATGAGAGAAATATCGAGTTTTTATTTTTTAATAAAGAAGATGATAATCTTTGATATTTACATGTTGAAAAATGTGATGTGAAAAAAGCAATTTAAGATATTCTTCAAAATTTCATTGAAAAATATTAATTTATTTAAAAAGTTATATCAGTTTTTTCCAACGAATCGCAGTTGAAAAAAATTGATACAAAGTTTGGTATCCATGTCAAGCGCAACTTCAAACATCCCGACGTGTCAACATTTCCATGAAATTCCCTACGTTTTTCGATTAAAATCTTTTACAGGCAGAAAACAGGAAACATGACGGACAGAATACTGATGTCACGTTATAGTTTTTCCCGTTTTACGCGTATCGGTTGTTTCGACTTCTGATCGTTGTTTTTCCCGCGACCACGTTCGGTTGGTATCGTTTTCTCGGTCGACGGATTCTTCGGATTTTCCACGTCAATTTCCCCGGTTCCGTAAACGCGACTCGTTAGTCACGATCCGTTAATCCTGAACGACGTTCCCTGGAACACGATAACCCTCCGTGGAACGTCGAGCAACACCTGTCCGTAAATGAGACATAATACTTCCTAGCGGTTAACGATGCCGCAGATTGAAATGATTATTGTTTGCGGTCACCAGGGCCGTCGAACAGCAGCTTCCGCGTTCGTGGCGTCGTTACCAATTGTCTCCGCAAGGCATCATTGTTAATGACGTTGAAGAAATTTTGCAGCCCGCAATCTTATATCTCTTCTAATTCCCTTTCTCCTAAACTACGTTGCGTTATTACGCATCGTTTTGTCGACATTATTTACAATTCAGTTTGTTCCTATTAGGTTCAGTTTGTTTATATTATAAACACACAAAACCCGCAGACTAGTTGTAACTTGTGTATCTTCAAACAGAACGTGTCGAAATGCAATTAAACGATTGATTTGAAAATTTGAATACACAATAGATGTCTCTCTAACGCGCAAACTAGGATTAACTGTCTATGTAATAAAATATTTATACGCATCGTAAGAGTGGTAATATGTCTAGATCGTTACACTCGTGTGTTATTTATCACGTTATTTGACCTATTGTACAGCATCTGTATAATTTTAAATTGCCCTGAAAAGTCCACAAATTATACTCACTTTCCGTTTTCATTCTTACTGTGCCGGTATAATATAATATTTCTTTATATAAATAGTTCAAGGAAATCTTTTAATTCTCTCTCCCACTCGAAGAACTTGTTAACTTACCGAAGTAGGAATTACTTCTTCCTGGAAAACTTGTTTACCGTTCGCGTGCTATTACAAAAATGGTAATGATATTACTTGCAAATACAAATCCCTGTAATCGATAACCGCAATCAGTATGTATACTCTAATAACGTAACAAAAATAGGTTGCACGATATACTACACATTGATCCTGACAAGTAACACTGTAAACGGTAACGAGAACGCGAACGCTGCTATCGTTACCGTTTTTCTCATAATTCAAAGATGTAACAAGCGTGAAACGTACGCCAACTGCATCAACGCTCGAACAATCTACATTGCTAATCCGAGGTCTGACGCGCACTGCGTACAACGTTGCAGTTGAAACGTTTAAATTCATGATTAATGGTGGTCCTCGGGGTAGACGGCCTCGAAAGCGCCTGTCAAAGGGGAACTTCGAGGATTCAGGCTCGTGAAAAAGTCACGAGACTCGCCGGCGAAATCTTTTCCGTTGAAGGTTTCTCTCGAGTAGGCTGAGACTTCTGGTCGACTTACCAAAGTGTTCTTTGCTCGCAGTACTTGGCCAGCAGCCAGAAGACGGTGACGGACTTCGTGGAGAGGGCTCTGAAGACCGTAGCTCCGACGGAATACGCCTCGAGAGCGGCCAGCCACCGATTAGAGCTTGTCCAGGGACTCGGTCTTCTGGGTAGCGAGCAGATAGCAGTGTTCGTTTGCACCACGGCATTCCCGTGCGTCGCTTGTCCTCTCTTTGTCTACGAGCCCAGATACAGGCTAATGGTCAGAAGGTGCGTCGAAAGCGGGGTCCGTCAATTTGGTATCGCGGCGTGTCTCAACAGGGAAGCGACGGGGACAAAAAGGTAACTACTTCCACTCGGAATCTTCTTATTCTATAGGTTTATGTAAGAGTCATAACTAGACTACGGATATTTATGCATTTATGACGAGCGTAAATATAGAAATTGTACAAGGATGAAAGTTTCAGTACTTTTTGCATTAATTTCTCTGATACTCGGATGTGAAGTTTGTCTATAATAATTATTATTATTTCATGATTTCGTCGAATCTTTCAGATACGCGGAATATGGTACCATGCTCGAGATTCGGGACAGAGTTCTGTTGAAAGACGGTTGCAGTATTCTCAGCACAGTCGGTGGAAGGAGATTCAGGGTTCTCTCTGGGGGAGAAAGGGATGGCTATGACACAGCTCAAGTGGAATTCCTGAGAGACACGATGGTACAGGAAGACCAACTGTTGAACCTCCTGGAATTACACGACAAGGTAAGTTAGCTGCAATTAAATGCATTCAATTTTAATTGATAATTAATTACTCATAAAACATCGATCTCTACACTTGTAGCATTCAGAAAAATATTCATTTCCAAGACAGTTTTCAATATTACACGTGTATCTATAATTTATAATAAAAATTTCAAATTTTAGTTTTAATGTCTCAGGGGCAACACGAATTTTAATTTTATTTAACACTTTTCTGATCATTTGGCATCAGGATTGTTTTTAAATATAATGCTTGTATTCTAATCGCTTCGATATTTATCTGGACATTTTCTTGTATCTGGATACCTTTTTCTGAAAATTTATTTCAATATTTTCAATGAATTCAATATTCACAAATTCCAATATTTCTAAAATTACTAATTCTATAATAATTGTTTGTTTCTCTCATCGTCAACATTCATTTTCGTAGAAATTCAACCGTAAAATTAAAGAACAATGACTTGCCAAATACAGCTAATGTTCTACAGTTTCTTTCTATCCATCAGCCTACACAAAATTGATCTCGGTCTCATTTTAAAAAAAACGTATCACAGTGTTCCTCCGCCTTTCCCCTAATCCGACCCCTATTCTACAATTACGCGAAAGAAACAGCAACCTTTCAAATTCACTGGAACAAAATACAATAAAAAATCGTCTTCGCAGGTCCGAGCGAAAGGCAGAAGATGGTGGGACACGGTGCCATCGTCCCAGCAGTCGGAAATCCAACGGGTATTCGGTCGAATGCCAGACACCGAAGAGGATTGGCCACGACTGCCAGATGGTCCATCGTGGACGTGGTGGCTATTGGCCATTTTGCCTCTGGGCCCACAGTTGCAAGTGGGAATCTTAGGCACGACTAGCCTGGAGAAGAGATTAAGAGCCATCGAGAAAACTCTCGATCATATGGAGCAGAGACAGCTGACGGTGGCTCCAGCGCCGTCGGAAGGGACCACCACATCCTCGAGCATATGTCGCGATGGCGGTGGCATAACGGAGACCGCGGTATCCGTCGTTCAACAGTCTTAAAATGGAAACGAATGGTTGGGAGTAGGTCCTCGCGGGACGAATCGTTTAGAGCCCTTAGGCCGTGGAGAACAAAAGGGATTCGACTTTCACTCGATGTACAAAGTACTTGCGGAGTAATTTATCGAAGATTGCCACTTTTTACTCGATATACATATATATATATATATTTAATACCCGGAAGCGAGGCGAGGGAAACCCGATCTGCCTGGTTTTCCTGGATGCATCGGCTACCCCGGCTTTTCTTCTTATACTTAACCCCGTTAATTACGTTTTAACTCGAGTACCCTCTCAGTTGGTACTCGTTAAACTTATGCGTCCGAACGCCTTATCGACGGAACGATTATGCAGTTAGGAAAGACGGGACGAGGATAGCGCGGGGATATCGAGCCAGCTCGATGCCTTTCTTCGTCTAAACAGTCGAATCTTTCTGGTGGAAGCAGGGTTCGTTTAGAAAATCGATTTCGACGTTTCGTTAACCCTTAACAAGATGCGCAACGTGCGCGCAAGACTTTCTCATCAGTTGAACGTCGACTGATCGATTGGTCGTCTATAGCAGTCGAAAGATTCAGCAAGCGCACGGGGGTCTAGCAGGTCCCTATTGGGGCATACTATGTGCTGCTGCGTATGTAGATTAGCTATTTTTGAATTAAATTAGGACAAATTAAAGGGAGTATTTACAAGACAGAGATAGGGAAGAAATGGTATTTATTCAGAATTATAAAAGAGGAAAATATATTGAGAGTCGAGTACCTATTTATGTTACAAATGTGAACGTGTCTACTCAAGGGTTAACAGAACGTCGATGGGTTCTCGAAGTACTTTTAGACGTTGAGTTGGGAGCTGAAAATATTAGTCACGTGTAGTATCGTATAGTCACGTGGATATTGTGTAATGCAGTCTGTGATCTGAGGAAAACGAAACACTTGAGGATTCTTGCATATTCTGGGATCTTGAACAGATTCGGTAACAGAGAGTAAAAGGAATACTTCTAGATTCGAACTATGGTCTGTGTATATTGATGACAGGTATAGTAGTTGATACGGTGACACGTTCACTGTCCCCTGACGCATGTATGACATACTTAAAACAAGAATGATCTCTGTAGATTGAATACTTGGACGCGTGTTGAGTATTGCTTTCGTTAATTCTATATTATTTATTTTATAAGCTAAATAGAATGTTGTGTTATATCTTGCTCGCAATAGATAGTGTCATGTACTTCTTTATGCAAAATTTCAAGTCGGTCGATTCACTATTTTCTTGACATACCATGAGTATCAATTTGAAAAATGCTATTTAAGAAAAAGTACTATGCTAGACCAAGTTTACGAATCCTGACAAGTCATTTATACACATTCTCCGCAAACTTCAAGAAATTGAAAAACAAAAATGTCGGTTTCTATAAGTTCTGAAACAGATTACTTTTGAAGAAGGAGCCTAAAGTCAAGATAGACAAATCTCTCTGTGCGTCTGTAACTATCAACAATCAACACATGCCTATTAAAAATACTGCAATACCTTCGAAATCAGAGGGGCCATTATATCTATCGATATAATTAGTTCCTTATTTCAGCAATTTATTCTCACCAACAAAATTGCGTCAAAGTCACAGCTAAAAATGGAGTAATTTTAAAAAGAGGTCTGAGATACATCCCCTAAAATGACTGGTTCGGTAGTTTTAGCGGTAAGGGAAATATCCTCTCTCTCTCTCTCTCTCTCTCTCTCTCTCTCTCTCTCTCTCTCTCAAAATTCTGATTAATAGACGCAAAGTTCCTACCAGGACTTCACTTTTTGCTGCCAACTGTAACTTGAGTTCTGACATATTGGTTTTCAATCGAACGCGCGTCAGACCTGGAAGTTTTGACAGGTGATAGGAATAGTAGCGCGAGAGCCTGAAAATCTTAGGTAACCACTGATTATTCGACCAAAGCAGGCGAGCCAGAAAGTCACATATCCGAGACGTAGAGTATCGTTTACCTCGGTAAGGCGTCACGGTTCTCTTTGCGCTGTTGCAATACGCAAATCTGTTCTTCCAGAATATTCTATATACATATATCTATATGTATACACACACATTTATGTATACACGTACACGAGCATACATATACGTTGCAATCAGAGGTACGCGCGTCGTCTTTACGCTTACGTTTAGATCGTACCCGACTCGAAACTTTTTATCTTGTAACAAATCACGCGAATATATACTCATAACGATGGTACAACGGCGAGGATGATGTATTTATTGTGGGTGTGGTGAGTACAAAACGTTCACAGGACCCGTGCGAAAGATGGGAGAGTTAGTTTTGTTTTAGCTCCGGCGTGTTCTCCGAGACGCTGGCGAAGATGAATCATTTCGAATCGTGCGAGAAGATAGTTTGTAATTTTTTTTTGACAACCGTAGAGTGGAAGTACCAAGTGCCAACGAAGATTTACTTTATTTATAAGGAACAAACATTTTCAATTAATATTATAAAAGAAACCAAAAAATGTTAAGAAAGGAATCAACAGTGTTTAACGTTTCATGTTTGACAGCTACCTTTTTTCTAGCTTTGCGACAGTGACACGTAGAACACAATTACGAAAAATCACAGTGTGTTTAATCTTAGCATCTATGATATTTCCACTCATAAATTTTTATTGCGTCATTTGTGTTCTGATTTTTGATTTTCCGTTTGGAAAATTGCCTCTTGTGAAATATTCTTTTAGTTTTTGTTTCGAAGGCACTTGAATATAATTAACGACAAGTTATGTAGGTATCAAAAGTCAAGAATGTAGAAATATTTGTTAATTTTTTGATTTTGTAATTAGTTAGGATTCCTTCGCGCGTCTCGTATGTTGACAATCGCTGACATAGGTCGATAAACGTAGCGATTGAGTACCCTAGGACATGATTGATTCATGCGAGGGAGAATTTTTGGGAAGAACGTTCTTTTTCCGCTCAGCTTCTCACACTCGGCCATATTTGTTGGGAAGAAATTTACTACAACGACCAGTACGTGTGGCAATGCGCTCTTGAAGTGGCACGAAACTCAATTTTTTATACTGTCTGGCCTGTATTCAGAACGCTCTAGTAGAACAAACTATACTCCTTTCATTTTCTTAACGGATACCGATTAATTGAACTCTTCTCTTCCCAGAATTTGTCGCGAGTATTTAATCATTGATGTATAACGCGAGTAGAAAATTCGTTAAAAATGTTAAGATTCTAAGAAGATTCGATCGCCAAATTATAAATATTCTTACTAAAAATTTTAAATACGACGTTGACGAATTGTATTATTCGTATCGATTGGATTTAAATACGCGTTGGAACGGAATCGTGTTATTCGAATCGATTGGATTTAAACACGCGTTGAAACGGAATCGTCAGATGGCCGGGATTCATTTTTCCAATCTTGGAAATGTTTGAGAAACGAAGGCGTATCGTTTAGTGATAATACAGTGTTATGAATACGAGCCTTTAAGTTTATTCCGTCGCTCATAAGACTTTCTCGACTACGGTAGCATATAGTAATTTATTTTCATGCGATTTTTTAATGTCATTCAAGACATAGCGATCGTCCGAAGAGCTAGGAACGTCATATCAATCATGCAATCAAACATACACAAAGTAAAAAAAAGCGTATGCGCCTGTTGTCATGATTATTAATCATTATTATTGTTATTATTACTATTACGATTAAGAAGAGTACTATTACTATAAAGTGAGTACTGTCTACACCACTATTAGCTTTTAGCGTCGTCGATATTCTATATTATTGAACGAATAACGACAATGGTTAACGAATTGGCATTATTCGACTATATACGTATATTTCCGATTCTCGAAAGTGTGTAGAGTAAAAAAGGAGGAAAGAATACACTTTTTTTCATCGCGTTTTCTAATCGATACAATTGAGCCGCCGTCTTCGTCTCCATGGAAATTGAACGATGATCGGTGTCCTCTAACTTAGATTTATATTCTCTTCTCTAGACTTTTACGAAGTTGTGAATCATGCATTGTGATATTACTGTATAGCCTACCTATTGTATATTGTTATAACATACATTACAAAATAGTATGTAATGTCACACAACTTTCCATTTTTACTTCAACATTTCTATATTTATCTTCATCTCTTCATATGGAATTATTGTAATAAAATATCATGAAATCTAACACCTGCGAGTACTCCCCCTTTCCCATTCAATTACTTCGATTCAAAATAATATAGTTGTAATTCTGAGAGTCGAGAGCATATTCTTATCCTTTAAGGAAACAGGGAAATTGAAATGAAACAAGAAACTGTGTAATCACGAGAATTGAGTACAAGGTTTTGAATTGATTAGTTATATGTTAAAAGGTAAAAGTAAGGAATGTAAAAAAAAAAAGAAGGAGATATAAGTCTATTGCAAAAAGGTGGTGCAAAATATAAATTTTTAATTGAAAGAATTTGTTTAAGAAAGTTTTCCAGGCATTTTATACTATATTTCAAGTTTGACATATCATACAATTCAGTTGTCAGTGTCTATAATCTATCTACATTATCAATTCGAGAAAATGGCTGGTCTTACTTACCTTATCAACCCTAGAAGCTTTTCTACCCCTGGCATACCGACCGAAGAAAATAATTTATTGATTTTTTGGCGTCCGTGCAAAGTCGGATAAAAATCTGACTTGACTACTTGGTTCAGGTCGATTCAGATTTCTCTGTAATTTTAGGCACGTTATTAGTTATTATAGGTAAATTTGGTATTTATAAATAACATTTAAATCTTATTCTATTCTAAATCGATAACATTTAACACTAAATCTACCACAGTTGGTGAAATGACAGTTTTAAAACATTTTCGTAGTTTCTTATTTACATCATATAAATTATATACAATTATTTCATGTATTATTCAATTGAGTTGAGTGAATTTTAGTGAATTATTTAATTGTAAAATGTGTCCGTAGCACCAGTCATTGGCTAAGTGAGAATATAGATCTTAGAGATTCTCAAATCATGGGATAAAAAACTCGATTAAAAGTCATTTCAATACTATATACCTCGTATATTGTATTTCTATATTTTGTAAATCAAGATATTACGATACCTGACCGAAGGTGATCTAACAAATTTACCATCAGCTCGTGACTACTTCACCCTCGAATTATTGCTACCCCTATTTTGGTAGCGCGGTCCGTCGTCAGTTGGCGCTACATAGCCTACCGATAAGTAGCGTCACCTAGGATAATGGAAACTTTGCACTGTAATCAAATTCCACAGAATCTGAACGTAATAGAATGTTTTTTTTTTAATAAAATTACACGATTATATAAACCTACGACATCAAGATAAATACAACCATTATTAACAGCTATCACAAGTCACGTTAATTTTACTCTAATATTTAACAGCTTACTTGAAACCATTTACGTTAACTTTCAATAAACATATTTATATAAAATCTAAAAAGAATAGATATACAATAAGTGATTAATGAAACAGTTTGAGAAAATTCGACGGATTCATCGCATGATTTTTATATCGCTAAATTAACATTTCTTTTTCTGACACGTCTTTCGTAATAGCAACAAAAATATGAAACAATTGTTTGAAGGAAAGTGGAAACAAACCAATGTAATGCTTTCGACGTTGGAAGATGCAGGAAAACGTTAAAGCGTACGTTCTCAATAACCGTGTATCGCATTACCAACGTGTCATGTTAATGAAACAATAATTCATCGAGTTTCGTTCTTTACATAGTAAAACCGTTTGTCTGACCGTACGTGACAGGTGGGTTCCTATCGCGGAATAGAAACAAATTCACGATCGGAACGTAGATTTGTTCGCGACGTGCATATTTTACTGGCTACGCTCTATCATATTGTCGATCGTTTGCGACATGTATCCGATACGGTCAACGTGCGTATCGATCGTTAACATTTATATCACCCATATGGGAAACGATTAATTCAGCTTATATTCTTTAATACTATCTGCATAAAAGGCGACTTTGGCGACCCAAGTCATAAACTATTTTGTGATAAATTTTGTAAACGTCGAGTATTTCACA